CGATTCGAAACCGTGACCTTCCTGCTAGCCGTCGAAGACTAAGCTGTCCGGTCACAAATACCTGAAGGCGGTGTGATTAACTAGTCCAAGTACTTCCAGAGGTTCGTGCTATGAGTACTGATGATAATTTATAATAGTCTGTACAGTGCTTTTCGTCATATGCTGACTTTACTTGCAGAGCGAACTCTCGATTATACCAAACATCGTTGAAAACCCACTTATGGTAGAAGGCCAAACGGTTTTAGATAAACAAAAAAATTCTTGGGAAACTAATGGCCGGTCCTATGGGCCAACACATGAGTAAAACACTCGTTGGATTTGGAGAGAATTAGCTCCTTCCTTCTGATGGTCGTAAATTCGATAGAGCCTTTCTGTGGATCGTGCATCAATCAACCGCATATATTTTGTCAGAGAACGTTCAACTTATAACGATTATTTTACCGCGTGGTCCACTGCTCCCACTGTCTCAATAAAGATAACATGTGGTGAAAAAGGACCGCTTTTACTGCAGATTCCTCTTCGTTTATCTATGGATCGGATGAAGATGACCCAGGAAAAGTCAGTCTATAACTTCAAGACAATACATGTGGATATTTTCGACTCAAAGTTGATCATCTGGAGGTGATGTCTTGGGAGGATTCGGGGTGAATTATGTTCAGGCGTCAGAAGAGTTAAAAAAACTAAACACTTGTTTTGAATAGTTCGCATGCTACCGTAATGAAATTCTATTTGTTTATTAGCGAACCACAAGAACAGAAGAAAGTTTGCTACAAACCTTTGCTTCAGTATAGGTCCGAAATATCAAGAAATGCACCTGAGGTTTGATGCAGCGTAGAGATAGGTCACCTTCTGTTTTATCTGGCAACACCAAAAGGACAGGTGACGCTGTCATACCATCCGCAGTTGCTTTGCCAGTTTACTAGTTCCCGTGAAGAAAGAAATATTGATCTGGAGATGAAACTACCTGGACTAATGTCTTTACACATTCCGCTTGGGGAAAACGCGTACAGATTTTTTTCAGTTTTAGCACACTTGCTTAATGCATGTTGCCATACTTATGAGGCTCTAAGAGGACTGCAGAAGACAACCGAATGTGAGATTGTAGCCACTTTTGAAAAGGTGAATTTAAGCAGCTACAAGTGAAAAACCGTATTTGGAACTGCCTTGCACAGACATTGGCACCATCGCGACTAACCGTATTTGTCAAACATCCTGTCCGTTCTGATGAATATTTTTCGTTTTGCCATTTACTTGTAGCTTGTGTGAAGCCTCCGGCTGATTTTATCTACTTTCCACTTATTTGAGACAAAAGGTGGGATTTCTAACACGTTCATTTTAAGCAGTGAAAACTATGGCACTGATGCTGCTTCGGTTTTTCTCCAACTGAACACTGGATATGGTTAAACTAAATTCATTGGGGTCATCGGTAAACCTTTGAACGGCTTAAAAAACCCTTTAGAAAGGCTATCGAGTTTATTCAGACGTAACCAAGTTTTGCATTCATCTAGAGTTTCAAAGAATTGCAGGGCATGTTAAGCAACATCGTATTACTTTGAAAAGATTTGGGAAAACTGATTTTATCTACCTTCCACTTATTTGAGACAGAAGGTGAGATTTCTAACACGTTCATTTTAGGTAGTGAGAACTATGGCACTGATGCTGCTTCGGCTTTCCTTCAACTGGACACTGAATCTGGTTAAACTAAAGTCATTGGGGCCATCGATAAACCCTCGAACGGCTTAAAAACACTTTAGAAAGGCTATCGAGTTTAATCAGACGTAATCAAGTTTTGTATTCATCTAGAGTTCCAGAGAATTGCAGGGCATGTTTAGCATCATCGTATTACTTTGAAAAGATTTGGGAAATTTCAGAAAAAATCTGTTATTACTAATTGCTTGGTTAGTTCACCTCTGTCATTCGAAGGACAGATTACGGTTAGCTGGATGACCGTATCTTCTTGAGCTGCAATCGCCGGCTCATTGGTTGTTTCAGATCGGCTGCATATGTGCACAGTTTATCTGCTGTCTAAAATCACTGTTTTGATTCTGTTTTCAGCAATCCATAATCTATACATCACGTATTTCAAGTCTCAATTATTTGAGACACTGAAAACACGTAGACTTCTTTATGGGTAAAAACACGTGAGGTTGATCAACTCAACAACGAAAACAAGCCAATCGTGCAAATGGACTTTCAACAGACAGGGTAGTTGTCTCTTGTTAGAAAGATCTTGTAAACAACCGAAAAGATAACGTTGCATTCTTAGATCCAGGAGAATATTCTCTCAGAATGGCCGACTAACGCGGTACAACAGTGCAGATTTGACACTCAACTTTCCAAGCTTAAAGTTAACCTAACTAGTGATATTCTTCAGTCCCATGACAGCAAGGGAGCTTTTCTGACTGGAGTGAACATGGCCATCTTGATAGACTGGCCTAACGTACTTACATGGCAACACTTGTGGGCACCCGTCAAAATGGCAGCAGGGTGGGAAGATATTATCCACTCAGACATGAGTAGTATACTAGTTTGACCGAAACTCAGAAAAACTGCGCGCGCCTGATGAGTCAAAAGAATGCCAAAGGGTTTTAACGAGTAGTGCGTTCAGTAACTAAGAAAAGATTTGTCAACTGTTTCCATCAAGTGCACTAATTTAATGCTGTGTTTGTTGTTGTTTTAACAACAACTCTTCTGTTCACCTGCTTGACATTCTGACACTAACCGACGGGTTAGCGCAGTCAGAATGAGGGGTAGGGATTTCATAATGAACTGAAGGAATTCTCCCGATCATGTACATTTGAAGGTTTCTGGGGAATGCATATCATAATGCCGAAAAACATCTGGTTTTAATTTTCACTCACCCATTTAATTTTGTAGTTTTGAGAGATTGTTTTGTAATGGTTTGATTCCTTGAATTCGCTTCCATATAACCCTATTTTGAGCAATCATCCCCTGTTTCGGCAGTACCGTTCTGATAAGCACATACCACATTCGCATGAAAGCTTATTAGCAGTTCGTATCCCTGCCTTTAATTCTGGTCACGTGATATGAGGTGATCCTTGTGCCAATGTCTGCAACTGCATGGTGAAGTCATTTGAATCATCGATCCAGGTAAGATAGCGTCAGAGATCTTTGAAACCTGTCGAAAAACCGACTACTTGTTCGTAGCAGCGAGATCGTTTGAGCCTTTGTTCATGTCACGGGAAATTCCTGAAAGGTGGGTCCGAAACAGCTGTGTCGTCATTTCAAGTGCCGGTAAAATGTACAAACATCGCACAAAAGTCCAAATATTTACTTGCTGAGGCAAAATGGCTCAGTGACCGGCGTTCAAATCACAGTAAGCCAATGATATGCGCAGACGAGACAGAAACGTGTGACGGCTCTTGTGCTTTGCATTCAGATGAGGAAGGTCATAAGCGAGGAATTTAGTGGAAATTCATTTGAGTGTTTCGTTGACATCGACTTTATCGCCAACTGAGTGTGCTTTGCCACTGGTGGGAAGTTTGCTGTTCGAGAAGAAAACGAGATTGAGGGAAACGTGGAGGAAAAGAGTGAAGCTCGTAGTGGGCTGAGGGAGAGCTTTCAACAGCCATCTGGGTTGCATTATGTCGGGAAAGCATTGGGGTCTCTCTGAAGTTATCCAAACTCACAAACAATCAGTATAGGATCTGACTGTAGCAAGCCAAGCTTTTAGTTAGCCCCTGGAGCGATGAGGTCAATCAGGGCACCAAACAAGACGGAGGGTCTTCCCCATCCGTCCATTTTATGTTTGTGAAAAGGTTGTCCATCTCCACATTTTCAAGGGACACTCGAGGCCGTGACCATCCGTAATAATAGTTGAAGATCATGCCGTTCAGCTCCAATCAGTGTGATTAGCTGGCCTGTAGATAGGGTATAACGCCACTAACGTATAGAGCTACGTCCGGTGTGATTAACTCGGTTGTAGGTAGGGCATAACGCCACTAACGTATAGAGCTACGTCCTTTCAGTGAGTTCTGGGTGGACTGACTTCATTTCTGGGGTAAAATGCTAACTGACCAATGTCATGGAGAGATATAAAGAATTCCATGAATCCGGCACGACTAGATCTTTAAAATTTAATTTAAACATTTCAGGCTACTGAACATCACTGACCCGTAAGTGTCAGGTCTTGCATGCAGGGTACAGGCTGTGATACGAATTATTAACATGGACCTGGATCATATTTTGAAGACTGATTTTCGTTTGGACTGATCTGAGTTCATATTGTCCGTACTACTGAAGTCTCGTGATGTTCATTGGTTGTGCGACCTTATAGGTCAGGACAAGACAAGTAAGAATAGGCCCTGCAGACGGGGTACAGACGGTAGATTGGAAATTAGGTACGGTGGCACACAAACTTTGCAGCATACCATCGTAGAGTGCGGTACAGCTGTGGTAGGATGAATGGTGTCTGATGAGGGTGTGACGTAACATAACAGGCGGACTACAAGAAGTGACACACAGGTGGAGTAGCTAAATGACTGCTGGTACCATCATGTTGTCAGTTTGGAATAAACATGTCTCATGTCGAATCACGCGGTTTTAGTATATCAGGGATGCTTTTGTGATTAATGTGGGGTCGATAAAGTAATCGAGATCAAGTGGTCACGTGAAGATCTTTCAAGGGAAGAAGTAGAACTTTCAAAGAAAAGTTTATGTACTCGATAAAGTGTTGAATTGATTTTGCTGGCATATTCAGTGTATTCCACAAAAGCGCTTAGATCCGTTCAGTGTCACTATCAGGCTCCAATCAAAACTTTTGTTATTTGCTCTCGACATCCGACTCTGTCTGTAACAACAGATCACGTATGTGATCACGTATTTGTGTGCCATATGTGATCTGCACAATGTGATCTGATAATGAGTGACTATCTTCACTACTCGTAGAGTCAAATGCTGCTGTTACCGTCTACTGGTTCTTAAGGGTTTGTCTATGTTACTTGTGTTCACGAAACGACAAGTTTCTTTCTTTTTTCCAGCCTCCTAAAAACTCCCTTCTCCTCGAAAAATGGAGAGGCTGATTGTATCCATAGACCAAGGCACTAGCAGCTCAAGAGTGCTCGTTTTCTCTACCACAACTGGAGAAGTAGTCGCCTCACATCAAGTCCCTGTGACACCAACATATCCATCCTCCGGCTGGATCGAACTGGACGCGAATCAACTCTATGACACAACTCTAAGCTGTCTCAACGAATGTACCAAGCAATTAACTGCGAAGAAACGCTCAGTTGATGTGAGTTTTCAATTAATTGTAGTGCAACATGAATTTTCTTCTATCCGTTCTTGTAAAGTAACCACAATGACGAATAGTTTTTAACTGTTAACCGCCTAAGAATCGGTACCTCATGTTTCGTTCGGTTTAAGCTGGTGATTTGTCCTTTTACTATTGCTAAATATGCATAAACGGACACTCGTTGGGATCAACGTCCATGAGTTTAACTAAGCTCAGGTAAATGTAGCAACAACCAAATGTCTAATATTAATGTTAAAAATGATTACAATCATTCGGCTGCCCAACCGGTGCATAGTTGCCATGCTACTAGAATCTAGCACGAGCTCTGAAATACTCTCTTGGCAAACACTTACAAGTGGAACCCCAAAGCCATATAAGTATTTGTAACATACCTGTGATCGGTTCATGGCACTTCATGATAACCGAAAAAAAATTGTTAATAAATTTTTATAGTGAGGTGGCCGTCTGTTGGTTACGCCTGTATTGAGCCTGCCAGACTACGCAATAAGGAGAGGACAGAAAGCCCTGGACACCGCTATATTGTCAGGACGAAACATACAGAGCTTCTGCGTAAATATACAGGATGACTAAACGGCCTAATATGGTCGTTCAGTTGTTCGTCCTGTACAGCTAATGGTGATGTTCCGGTCGTGAACACTTTCAGTCGCATCCCAGAGGTCGTATGTTGCTAAGGCGTGTTTGGTGAGCTCCACCAACGCAGCTGTTATCCGAAACGTGTCGTACCGATGGTGAACTTAGGGATGCGTTATCCTCTGTACATGAGCTTTTTCATGTCTGGGCGCGTCCTGACAGTAAACCTGCTCAAAGGTGTGAAAAATCACTCAATCCTCCGTCCTCACTTGCCACATAATCACTAGCCTTACGCGGCTTCTCTGAATTGATTTGTGTTTGCGCTGAAGAATGATCTAATAACTATTCTCCTACTATAATCATACTCATATAGCACAGTGACCAAAAAGATGTGCTCCTGAGGATTTGCTAAGCATAACAAAATAAATAACTTGTAGAAATCCCAAATATCCGTCGATCTAGACTCGGACGGTTGGGTTGAAACTCATTCCGTGATTCTGGGAACAAAAAATTAACCAGAGATGGAGGTATCTGACATAGGCTACAAGAATTGTTCAAATCCATGATCTCGTCTTTTCTTTCCCACCTATTTTAGGATGTGGCTGGAATCGGTGTGACGAATCAAAGAGAGACCACAATTGTTTGGGATCAGTCTACTGGAAAACCGCTCGCTCCGGCGATAGTCTGGTCCGATGCTCGGACTGCCGACTTGGTAAAACGCTTTATAGATCGCACTCCTGGGAAGAACGTCAACGCATTTCAGGTAGGTTTGACGGATGACAGCCCAGAAAGTGAATTGATCACGACCTGCTGAAGAGGCGTTTCACTATTCGCTTGTTTTGATGTGGCACAAACGAGCCTACTGTGTGCTGGGTGTACATCCTAGGGACAAAGAAGTCCTTTGGTATGCATGTCGGTTCCCTCGCATCTTTGATAAGGGACGGAGTAAGTGCTCAGTACGTGTAATAGGGCAACCTTCGATTTCTGGTACGTGTATTCAGTACAGTGCTCTTGAAGGACTTTGCTAGATATAACATTTCATAACACTACTGAGTCTTGTGTGTTTTTCTGGTACTCCCAGCTTTGAACTCGACATACCCTTTTGCTGTCAAAGTCTTGGTTAGAAACTACTTACCGCCTATGAACGACTTCGGATGCGATACAGTATGTTTCCTGTGAGACGAGTGTTAGGTCGAGTGTGAGAAATGGCCCAGCCCATGTGGACTTTCGGTAAAGCATTATGGTAAGTTCTTTTATTTAAGCCTCGTAAGCAGCATATCAGTCAATGTAAAGTATCTCTTGCGTTCTTTCTCATGCAATACTTGTGGGTCAGATTTGAAGTAGACAAAATGTTTGGGTTTGTTGGATTTGTGAGGCACCAACAGGGGAATGCCTCAGGTGTATTCGAAGCAAT